TTAGTGCAAAGTTTGCTGAGCACTGTTAAAAAAAATACAAAAGTTATTATTTTTAATCAAGCCCAGTACCGCCCTGCCGGTTTTGGTGTCAAATAGAAGTGGCTTTGGTTTATATTTATTCAAAGTTTTATGGAACTAGTTTTTCAGGGTGGGATTTAGTTGCTTTTTAAACCTTGGTGGGTGGCAAACGAGGCTTTGCACTGTTAACCAATTTTTAAAATTTTCTACCAGACTGGTTACCGTACTTTCCTGCTGATTTCAGCTGCCAGTAGGGCTGCAATTGTGTTAAATTGGTTCGAATTTCTAAAGCCATAGTCTGACAGGGTCGGACTTTATAAATTTGCTTGCTCAACGCTTGAATCAAAAATTATTGTTTTTCTCCCAACCAGGCTTACTACGGCTCTGTTGGTTTCTCAGTCGAAATGGAATGGTATCGCTTGACATTTGGTCAAATTTGCTTAACGATTGTTTTTCAAGATTTGGTACATTTTTTAAACACAGTTGGGCATGGGCTCAGCACTCTTAATTAATTTTCATATTTTATGGCCTCGTCAAGTCGCACTAATAGGCGCAAGTCGTCAATTGAAGTGGAAGATCTCTTTATATTTGTGCTAACTAGTGCCTGGCAAAGTTGATTCAGGACTGCTCACACATAAAATTCAAAATCTATTTCTTTTACAACCAGGAGGTTTCTACGGCTAAATAGGGGTATTTCTTTTAACTATTGAGAAATATTCAAATGGGTAACTTTTCAGTGAAGGATTTAGGAAATTGTTCGAAACTTGTAAATGGCAAACATGGCTGAGCACTGAAGAAACAAATATAACGTTAAACGGACCAAACAAGACGAAGCCCCGGATCAATTAGAGAATGAAAAAGTTTCTTGCAATGTCTAGAAAATCAAAAGAAATGTAGCAACCCGAGAACATAAAAAGGGTCCATTTAGCCACCACAAACTTATGGTGGGTTTATAGACGAGAATAAGGATAAGGCATAAGAATATCGCTTAAGGAATAACGCCTAATGGTGTGTTTATAAAGCAGAATAAGGAACAATATTATTTTATGTACAGCCAATCAAATGGAAGCATATGCTTAAAAAACAATAGGGTTGTGTTTGTTTATGATCAACATTATCGCGGTAACATACCAATAAAAGCTTATTTTACATAAATATTGTACATAAAAATGGATTTGTCCACTGAAGAAGTGGTAGTTCTTTTTGGATTAATAATTTCGTGTCTTAACCTCACAACAAAATGTAAATACAATGTTTGGCGGTCACGTGGGATATTGGAATATAATTTATCTTATAAACTGCGCATGCCTCATTAGAATAACGCCTAACGCGTAAGATAAAAGTTAAAAGTTGGCAACTTTCTTAAGTGCCGGTGCGTACGAGCGTTTTTTAACGGCGCGGTGACGCGACGTCAAAATACGCGCGTCTCACAAATACATTGGCTACAATGAAGCAGTTCACACGAACGTCGACGTCGCCCACCGTTGTTTCACCGTTGGACGGTAACGCCGCGTTGAAATCCGTAAGATACGTCTTAATCGTTAAGCGTTATTCCTTATTCTCGTGTATAAACCCACCATTATATACGGTTTGTCGACGCGCAGGTATGGTCTGTCTTTGTCGCACATCGTGTCGTCATGTGTGTTGCAGAATCGGGCGATTTATAATTGTATTGCATGCCAAATGCGGATGGTTTTATTAATTCATGATCTTTTTGCGACGACAGAATAAATAAGTTTGATTTTTCCAGTTTTGAGCGCTTTAAACGTCGTTGATTTTAATAACAATACATATTTTTATTGCCAACAACAATTTCAGTAAAACCCATAGGAAGAATGTTGAAAAAGAAGTGATAACGCAAATGCCTTTAAAGCATACTTTAAATATAATAAACATCTTATTATCAAGATCATTAGGGTTTATGTTAAAATAAATTCAAACACTTACTGATGAAAACGCAAATCGCATATTGTATTATAAAGTTGAAAATACAGGGCATTTTTAATAAGTGTCCGATATTTCTCAGGACGATTCGGGTATTTTGAAGATAAAAAGTTGATATAAGCATAAGTCTGCAAAGCCTGACTTATCGCGCTACAGGGTGTCTAAAATGTATTTTTATTTTAGTTTTCTCTAAATAATTTTTGAATTACTTATTGATATTTTTTGAGATAAAAACACAGAAATAAAACCGCGGAAGTTTATTAGCCTACTTAATCCTTGACTTAGAAAAACAAAAATAAAAATACAGTTTTGAACACCTTATAGCTCGATAAGTAACGGCTTGCGGCTTATGCTTATCTAAGTTTTCATCTGAAAATCTTTTTTTTTTATTTAAAATTATTCAAAAAAAATGTATCTTAGAAAATTCTATGAATATCATTTATTATCATTAATTGACTATTTTTTTTATTTGTAAATTTTTTTGCAAGCGCCGTTTACAATTTTCAAAACTAATTCGACGGTTTAAATCTGAAAAATAAAATTTTAAATTTAAATTAGTTAATTTTTAAAATAAATTAGCTTAAAATAAAAAAGTCTAAAATAAGATAGTGTTATTGACAAACATAGAAGTACTTCATAAGGAATAATTATATCAGGAATTAGTTTGCTCCTAGTGCCGTCGGCTATTTCTTTGAATAAATATTTCTCACTAGCTAATTACGTCATGCATAACATTAAACTCAGATTCCAATATTTTAGTAGCTTGCAACATGTTTTCATTTGCACATAGAATATTTCCTCTTGAGATGAAACTCAGGCAATGTTGGATGTTTCAATATTTTTGGTTTCCACACCTAATTCAAATTAATCTGTGGGCGATATACCGGCCATATTTTTTCCCGACAAAAGATTTCAGTAAATCAGTATTTTTACTACTGTTCTCAGTTTCTGTCTATATGAAACTATAAAAATAGTTCTAAATAAATAAAATCTGATGGAATGCCATTGTGGCCATGGTATACCGCTCGAAACTGCCATACACGTGACGTCATTGTGCCGTTCAGACGAATTTTGTTCGAGCCGCCGAACATACGGTGTATAAGTGTATCGTGCATTTAGCCAAAAAATTAAAAAATTAATGTATATATGGCCAAATTGGCTCAGTACAGTTAAAGATGTTTGTTAGTTTTTGCTCTTGGCTGACATTCGGTAAAGTTTTCACAGCAGTAGTTTTCCAGGACGGAATATGTTTCAGGCAAACCTTATTTGAAAGTCCATGAGCAGCGAGTAGCAGAGTTAAAAAAAGGCGCAAATTGCGTTTCCTACAAATCCAAATCTTTTGTTTGCAAAATGCCGATTTCCCAATATTTGCGTGGTACCGAGGAATTTTATAATAAGTAGTTATTGGTGAGTGATACAATCACCTGTTAGGCTACTTGAAGGTTGCAAAGTTCGATTAGTCCATAAGTAAATGGAAAACGCATTAAAAACTGAGATAGTTGATGAAGGTCGTTTCGCCTGTGTGCTGGCGAAGCATCTTCAACAGCCCTTTAACTGATTCATATTCATTTAATATCTATTTGAAATCGGGGCTTGAAAGCGTGCAGTTAATGTCCGGCAGCCGGGACTGTTAACACATTTTAATTAGTCTTAACAACGAAGTAATATTAAGTAATACGAGTATTTGTGTTGTACCCACAAGGAACAGAGGCGCGCAGACCAAGGAAAGAGTAGAAAATGTAAAAAACAAAAAACATTTACTGATGGAATTCGTCGGTCTAGAGAGATAAGAAACATTCAGCATTGAGTTCTCATTCATTGAGTCGCTCGACTCTACTTTATAACCTCACTTCATAACATCAGTTTTTCTGGTTTATTGGGATTTTTAGATGTAGTATTACAGATTGACGTTAAGGCACTCTTTGTTATGCAAAAAGTTTGAAAACATGATAAGCTTTTTATTCACCATTTAAAATCCCTAGGTGTCACCAAGTTAACAAAAAAACAGCAAAAACCACCAAAAAAAGTTATCTGAAACTTTCTCACTCCACAATTTTTCAGATGGAAAAGATTTAGCACACTGGGCATGAAAGTCCAAGCAAAATTATGCAGTTGAACTTTTGAGGAAATCGAAAACGCACTATTCAGTCTGCTATGGAAAGTGAATCTTCAAAACCGCACAGATCTGCCAAATCGCCTCCAAATGAGCTGAGTTTTGTATCGAAGACTCTTAAGCGTGCGCTCTATTCTACTTCAGATTCCAGCTATTCTCGGTGGCAGCGTTAAAAGTTTCCTGTTTATCCTTAATGCTGAGTAAATACCGGGCAAGTCACATCCAACAAATCGGGAAAAAATATCGTAAGCCATACTAAATCCCTTACCGTTATTTGGAGGCAATGCAAAAGAGGACTGTGAGTTGTTTTGTATGACAAAAGCAATACAAATCGTTATTTGAAGTTCTCCATGAAATATTTTGCAGAATTCACAGCCAACACAATTTCAACGTAATCAGGGATTTTACACTTGCACTTTTACTTTTTTCAACAACTTTTAGGTTCAACAACTAATTAGGTCTAAGGCCCGGATGAATAAAATGATATTAAGCTTGGTTCAACGTAACCCAACGGGAACCTGAACTCTGACCACAAGCCCCAACATTGAGCTAATTTTGTACAACCCAAAATTACACGTAAACCTCTCTTGAACTTTAAGTTCTACTGCTCTAATTGAACTTGAAGTTCACCTGAACCTCGGTTTCTTATAAACTTAGGTTTCCTTGTCCTATCCTAAGCACCAACGACAGTTTTCACGCAGCCACTGGAATCGCAAAATCCAGCCGTTTATTCAAATTTACTGCCATTTCCCACAATGCGAAATCGCATTTGATTCCGTATTAATGGCGATGTCGAAAAAACTTTTTATTTTCCGTAATTAAACAAATATGGGATTGCAACAGATGGGATTGGGGGGGTTGCACATGCATACCAATCCACAGATATAGAAAGCAATATGGCTTTGGCCGTGCTCAATGTGCAATTTAGCCGTGTATATATACCGCCTTCTTGATACAGATAGTCAGCAGTCGTTGTTTTTAGTCAATAGAATAATGAATCTCCAAGTAAGTGCATGTGTGCAACCACAGGTTGATACATTATATCGTATATTGATTCATACTTATATCGTATTAAGTGCCGAGTAGTTAGAGAAAAAGTCCACTCAATAATCGGTTTTACTTGCCTCAGCCCATTAGGTCTTAAAAAAAGCTCGAGGTAGAAATTCAAGCAACGAGAAACTCTAAGTGTTTTTTGTGATTTTTTAAAGATTTTCTGTACCATTACTGGTGACCCTGGTAAACAGCGAATTCCGATACTGTAAATCAGACCACAAGGCTTATTGCGACTCTATAAGACTTAAGTTAAGCGCATTTATGATTTAGACAAAATTTTGAGGCGAAATACCGATCAAGAAATTTGTAAAAAAAGTTCTTTATGCTTGAGGCGGCTTCATGCTCCCAAAACATTTTTGGTGGGACTTTGCTTCCAAAGTTTTCGACTTAAAAAATACAGGATTTTCTCACGTCGTTTCCTCTGCATGGCTCAAGTTATTCAAAATAAAAAACGAATCATTTACCAAAAGGGAATCAGGTACTGTGACTTAAAGGGTCTCTTACGACACGCTTAGACTGAATCTGTAAGAGAAAATTGCTCCTATATTAAGGTATCAAAAAATACCTAAAAATAGGAGATTAATAAAAGTTGTAAATTAGTTTAAAAAATACAGGTAGGTATATTAAATTACTTAGCAATTTTGAAATATTACCACTGGTAACCATGTGTGACTTAAATTACATGAACATGAGGTAAAGCAACTATCTTGATTTAATTAAATTAGTGAACTTTCCTTAGTTTTACGTTTTTTTTGTTCGTGACTCCTTTGCGTACTGCTTGACATGAATGACAATGAAACAAAAGCCCTTTTTACGACTAGTCTTGGAAAATATTTTTCTAAACGAAAATGTATCCAATAAATATTGACATATTCCATAAAATTCTTCTTTTAAACACGACATAATTTTTACGTATGAATATATTCGTTATCTTTCAGTTCTTATTTTATGGTTTTATATTTCCCTTATAGAAAATTTATTATTTTCTCATGCAATTTTGTTAGTGACGTTTTCTAGATTTTCAATTTTGTCCGAATGTTTGTGCTTGAAATTTTTTGTGAATTTTTAGTTTTGAAGCTAATTCTATTATTGAATTTGCTACCTGCGTGTGTTTAATTTTATCTCAAATTCCAGGAATAAATGAAATAAATAAGTTGGCAATCAGTTGATTTTTATTTTGTTTTAATGCTGGATTTTTATTGCCTATAAAGGAAGATGCTATAATTATTGAAATTTAAATGCTTTTTAAGCAATTGCTTTCCCTGGGTGAATCCAGATTGACTATTTGGCTTTTTCACTACTATTGGATAATTTCGGACAAAAAATTCCTTATTAGTTCTTATAACTAGGGTTACAATTTACCCAAGTTTTAAAATTGTATGAAATTGTCGAAAATAATTTGGTTGTTCTGTTCCATTTCAATAGCGAATTTAACTGTTGGCTTTGAATTGTGAAGATTCGATAAAAATATTTTGCTTCAGTTAGGTTAATCACAAATTCTGTTTACATTTCGTACATACAGACTTTCCACAATGGCATTTTACCTCGTTAATTAGTATATCAGAACAAGGAATTTGGTTGATTTGTTTGAAACTAATTCGATAAATGTTCATCAAGAATTTCCTTCCGATGACTATAAATTGCATCAGCAATATTTCGGCGCCAAATTCTGGGTTTAACTTTTAAAATTTTTCATAAATATATTACTGAAATTTTTTTCATAAATGTTTTTATTATTTTGAAAATAACTTAACTTTACACATATGGCTAAAAGTTCAATAATAATGTTAATACTTAATTGTTGCGGATTCTTAAGATTTATGTAATTTTTTGTTTGAATTTTCTATTTTAAAGTGAATTTATGCTACTAATTATTGGTCGTAAAGAAATATTCACGTCCTCAATTTTGAGAATCTCGTGAAAAAGAGGTGTTAATTTCGACCTTTCGTAATATTACAATTAATGTATACATTTTTCGAGATTCTTTCTTTTTGACGTTTTTTCTAATATGAGCAGGAATAATTTTAATTGTTTTATATTTTTGTTAAAATTTTATTGATTTTTCTACCATTGAGGTTATGTTTGCTTTGATTTTCCACGGAGATCCTCCAGTGGTTCCCCTTGTAGAGTTTGAAATTCTTTTTCCTCTAGTATAAATGAGGTCAATCTTTTGACTCTTTTTTTGGTATAATTGGAAAATTTTTGCTTTCAGCATGAGCAATTTTTTGGATTTTAGTTAATGATAAGTAAATATATTTATAATTGATATGACTGTAAATTTTGTTATTATTTCGATTATTTACTTTATTCAAAATATATGATTGGTCGTCAGGCAGACAGCCAGAAATTTTGCTTCATATAAAGGCGTGTTGGTCAACATGATTTTGCTAATTCGCAGAAAATTCAAAGCAATGCTTCAACACTTTTAACGAAAGAAGTAGCAATAAAAAAAGTAAAATCGAAGGAAAATGCATTTATTTTTAACTGAAAGAAAAAGTTTGGAAAATACGTGAATCTGGGCGCGAAGATTGTGGGTTTGAAGGCTAAGGTTTCAGGGAAGTCTTTGGCAAGATTATTGGGATGTTCGTACGTCTAAAGGTTCATGCTATTGATGTATGTTCCTCGTATTTACGTATTGCTTACATTTTACGGTGTTTTCACTATTGTCTTAGGAATTGATTTCAAAATTTTGTAGATTTCAATGTTGGGTTTTGTAGCGCTTTGCTTTCCTGTATCTCTTTGCTGTCCAAGAATAGGTAAGATTTTCTACCAATAAACCAATATAACTTTTCTAATACCAAACTGCCATCGTCTGATAAATATTTGCTTTTTGCGAACTTAGTTTTGGGCCTAGTTGTAGGCGTAGAATGATAAAGGTTTTTCTCTAAACCTGAAAATGGAGTTTTTTAAATTAATTTTTTTTACAGATTTCAATTTCTCTCGGATGGCCATGTTTGAATTAAATGAAACAGTTTTTTATCCGCCAGTGGCGCTCATAGAAACATGATATTCAATATTTTTCGCTTCATTCAAATTAATTCACTCGTTTGTTGCTTGTTTAATTATGATGAAAAACAAATTATCTTGGCGTTTCGTTAAACAACGTATATTTTTCGTTTAAAAAACAAAAACCGTATTAATTCACAGCTTCGAAAGTACTTTGAAACATTTTTTTAAATTTATGCTATCATTTGTTTGCGTTCTACTTTAGGTAAACTGTCCACTCATTAAAATCAAGCATCTATATTTGAAATGCCTACAATGAAAGGCTTTCGGCATCAGCAGAGGGCATGACCTTTTGAAATAGGCAAGTGCAGATTTCGAAATGCACTGTGTGATTACCAAAAACATTACTTTTAATCACTTCAAAGGTCTTACACCACTTTCAATGTCCACAAAAAGCAATCATCTTCAATTTACAAAAAATAACAACGGGATTTTAATTAAAACATCCCAATTTCTGGTTCTGAAAACTTTATCAAATATTTTGAGAAAATAACTAAACACGAAAGCCATTCATCATTCACATCTCATCAACATTTACCACTCATCCAAAAGATTTTGGCGATGAGTTTCACTAACAACAGTTCTTTTCAACAGATTTTTTTCACTAATGTATCTTTGTTTGTGTACTCTTGCGCTTCATCTTAGTTTTTTTGCACATTTACATAATTGTTCCCTTTCGCAGAATCATCATGGGTTGTAAGATTCTCTTTCTATTCAAATGTTTATTTAAATCATTATTATTATCGGATTCGGCAGATATATAATAATAATCGTTATTATTATTATATCTCGGCAGCTTTCAGAAGCTTCAGTTTATATTGATTTTGTTCCTCAAATTCCCATATAAATCCTTGTCCGATTCTAAATTGAATTTTTATTTTAATAATTAGTGAATAGATAAGGCACAGTTATTAGCAAAAATGGAGTTGCAGCATTTTCAAAGAAATTATATTTCTAATTCTATTAACCATGGCATACGGAACGGTAAAAACAATAAAGTTTCTAATTGTTTTTTCTTGGAAAAGTTTGAAAGTTCATAATAAATTGTATTCATTTTTATTTTAACAATTATTTTGTTAAAATGGATTTACACCACTTTCATTGAAAACGACTAACTTAATAAAAGTTTCGAATAGAAATGGTCAATTCACGGAGGCTTTTACCAGTAAGGCTTCTTTCTCTAATGTTAAAAAACACCCAAAACCTGAAGAGTGTAACTGCTACGATTTGCGAATTCCAAACTGATTCTTTTTCAAACAAAAGTCTATTAACGCGTTATCAGAATATGCGTCTCACCTTAAACTGAAGGAACGAAGCACACTTATAAACAACCCAATTAATCGAAGTGTGCGAATGATCCCAAACCTTCTCCATGGTTTGAAAATTCCAAGAAGTGTTTTGTAAAACAGTTTTTGATTCTGTTATCCTGGAAACAATCACCCAGTTTGTAAAATGGGTTTTTGATGCTTCGATCATTGTTAATGATCCTCTGAAGTGCCACAAAGCAAAATTTCAAGACAATCTCATTTCTTGAGAACGGTTTCTTCTGTATTACAAAAAGTTATAATTTCCAAAATGATTCGAAAGTGAAAAATGCTAGCAACATTTTCCGAAATTGATGATCTGAAACATGGTTGACAGATTGTGCAGATACAAGGTTGACGGATTTACCAGTTTAGAAACTTGCCTTCTTTTGTACAATTTGTCAAAGCTCTATTATTGAAACCATACATTGATTGATATTTTATTTCCATTCAATTGTTGTTGGAATAATCGCATTATTGTCGTGAAGCGTTAGCATCACTAATAGAAACAGCACGGCACTGTTGTCAACTTGAATAAGAATATCTAGGTATCCAGAAAGTTCGCACACAACTCGTATATTTAGCCAAAATTTGGCAATCCTGCGGTTGTAAATCCAAGCTACTTTCAAAATTGGCTATGAAAATTGTCCCAAATTATTTGCAGTTGGGCAAATGAACACAAATGCAAATTATTACCGATGCACAACATTAGGTATACCTAACTAATCAAATTCTCAATTTATAGTGCATAGAATGTCATCATTATTTATAATTTATTCGTTATTTTTTTAATATGTAAATGTAAAAATTTGTATGCAGAAGTTGCATGCTATAGCAGAAGACATCATCAGTTAATTATCCCAAAATTCCGAAAGTTGAATTTGGATTTTACTGTTAGTTAACCTAACTGGAATTTGCCACTATTTTGATCAGAAATTAGTGAAGTATTTTAGCTTTAGTTTACTGTAGTAACGTTTGCTCTCAATGTGGAAAAGTTTCGATTTTTGGTCATTTTCAGTCAAACTTCAAGATGTTTTCAAACTGGTCGGTTTTCGTTATAGTATAGTTCTATGTATTATAGAGTTGCTACAATAAGTGAACAAAATATTCAGTTTTCGGTAGTCATCAAGCATTTTTTAAGAATTTTACAAAACGGTGTCTGGTTTACGAGGTTGTTTTGGCACGACAAAGTTTTGAATTTATTTATTCAGGAATTAACAATCTGAGAGAGTGACGTTTGTATATGGACGGTAAAGCAAGTTCTAGAAGCGCCAAAGGTTTCGATTTTCAGTCATTATCAGGCAATCTCTAAGCAGGTCGTTTATTGATATCTATTTCTTCATAAACTTGCAAAGATTAATAGTGAGTTTATACACGAGAATAAGGATAAGGCCTAAAGCATAAGGAATAACACCTAATGGGGTGTTTACAAAGCAGATTAAGGAACAATATTATTTTATGTACATCCAATCAAATGGAAGCATATGCTTAAGGAACAATAGGGTTGTGTTTGTTTATGGTCAACATTAACGCGGTAATATAATAATAAAAGTTTATTTTACATAAATATTGTACATTAAAATGGATTTCTCCTTTAAAGAAGTGGTAGTTCTTTATGGATTAATAATTTCCTTATCGAAACTCACAACAAAACGTAAGTACGATGTTTGGCCGTCACGTGGGATATTGGAATATCAATTATCTTACAAACTGCGCATGCCTCATTAGAATAACGCCTAACGCATATGATAAAAGTTGGCAACTTTCTTAAGCGTTAGGCACTATTCGGTTTATAAACACCTTTATGGACTGATGCGTAACGAACTTTTAAGATAAGCCTTAATCGTTAAGGGTTATTCCTTATACTTGTGTATAAACCCACCATTAGAGTCAGGTTTGAATCAAAGTTGTAAGCAAACCCTGCTTTAAAGTGGAAAACCTCAATTTTCAATCATTTTCCGGAAACATTTGCGATTTTTTCAAGTTTTTCTGTTTGCTCGCATTTGCAGACCAGGGTTTGACAGTGATTTTCAGCAGAAACCAGTGAAGTTAGAGAATGATGTTTGTATAAGTTGCATATTGAATATTGTTTGAGCAAGATGTGTTCTATAATTGAAAAGCTCTTCATTTTGACTCATTTGAAATTTCCCAAGTTTTTAGAATTTTGTGTGTATTTTTACTCGCTAATGAAGGCCAAGAATTTTACAGTTATTTCCTTAGACACTGATCAAAGTAGAGATTGAATTTTGCAGGGCAGAGACCGCTTAATGAGTAGGAAAAGTTTGAAATTTGAGTCACCATTAGGATAATTTTAAAATGTTTAAAAAGTTACGAGAGGATTTTGCGCTTGTTTATGCAGGCCCATTGGCATCTCATTTACGTTTGCAGCCCTAAATTTGTCATTTATTTTCTTCATATCTCAAAAGTCACAAGTCACTGGAGACTGGTTAATGAAATTATTTTCTCAAAAACTGGCCAAAGTAGAGATTTAAATTTGATGAAAAGAGATGCGAGAGGATTTTGCGCTTGCTTATACAGGCCTATTTGCACCTCATTTCTCTGAAACTAATCCAGTTCGCAAATTATCTTTCATTGAGGTTTTTAAGGCAAAGTCTCTTCTCTGAATGGAAATAGTTTGAATTTTAAGCATGAATTTTTGAGAAGTTTTTTTAATGTGCTTTCGATTCTGAAGTACCTTTTAAACCACAGTTTAACATTTATTTTCTGAATACCTAGCAAAGCTGAAAAATCAACTTTTCACAAGTTGTCTAGACCAAGATGTGTTCTATACGAAGAGAAAGTTTAGATTTTGAGTCAACTTTAACGGATTTTATAAGGTTTTTTAATTTTGTTTATATTTAGTGCTTGTTCATGCCGGTAGAAGTTTCACAGAAACCAGTCTAGATGAAAATTTACTTTGGACTGTATTTGATAAGGGCAACGTTTAAATTTTTAGTTATATTTCGGCTATTTTAGAGAGAAGAAGTTTTTGAATGTGTCTTTTCATTCCCCAGAAACTGGTGTAGTTAGAAATTGACTTTTGCATGGATTTTTCAAAGCGCGGCATATGTTATCAATCGCGAAAGTTTCGATTTTGAGTCATCATCAGGGTATTTTCAAGATTTTTGTTTCAGTACCTCTCCTTGGTATTCTGCGCTTTCTTAGTCCTAGCTGCGGCTGAGGAGAAGAAAGCCGAGGAGCCAAAACCCGTCGAAGCCAAGGAAAAGAAACAAACCAAACGTGGCCTATTCGACTTGGGCTATGGAGGTAAGCAACTACCATTCATTCTCAATCTGTGTCCTCATGAGTAGTGACATAGGCGGTGACTTTGGAGGCCACGGCGGACTGGAGTTCGGAGGCGGTGATTTAGGAGGTTTAGGAGGCGGCTTTGGAGGTGGCGATGACCACATTAAGCACATTACCATCACCAAAACTGTACCAGTACCCGTACCCCAGCCTTATCCTGTGCACATCGAGAAGAAGGTACCTGTGCCTTATCCAGTCAAAGTGGCCGTGCCCGTTGACAGGCCATACCCCGTGCATATACCCAAACCGTACCCAGTACCCGTTGACAAGCCGGTGCCTTATCCGGTTGAAAAGCTCGTGCCCTATCCAGTCAAAGTACCAGTAAAGGTAAGACGCGCCAAGAAACTGTACGGATAAAGGAGTAAAACTATGTTTTATTATTTTGATCAGGTTCCCTACCCAGTACCTCATCCAGTACCAGTGCCCAAACCCGTGCCCTACCCAGTGCACAAGCCGGTGCCCTACCCCGTTAAGGTTCCCGTTTACGTTGAGAAGAAAGTGCCGATTTTCATTAAAGGACACGAGGGAGATCTTGAGGGCGGCTTTGGAGGCGGCTTGAGGTTCGGAGGCCATTTCGGTCATCATTTCTAAGCAACGCCTGCTGACTCTCAGCAATTACATCATCAGTATTCTCTCACCATGTCGTACCTATTCATTGCAAATATTTGCATCATCTCATCACCTAGATTGTATCAGTTTTTATTTATGTGCTGTTTTTTAAATACAAATAATTTGCTGTATTTTTTTGGTTTAATTTGCATCAAGTCTTGCACGGAAAACTCGGTTCCAGGACCCAGTCATGGGCCGTTTAAATGATGTCGATTTTTAGTCACATTTTGACATGGTTTTGGTCAGTTTGCCTAAATTAAAACGAGCTTGCCAGTGTTATCACAGATCCATTACGATAATAAACTTCATTAGCAAAGCTGGCTTTAGTATTTGCAACAATCATTAGTAAATTTTCTCAGCATTTTAAAAGATTTAGGGCTTTATTCTGGTCGGGAGACTATTGACGCCCGTTAATATCAAAGTAGGACTTCAACCGCTTTAAGGTGTCTGAATGACCCTTTCGACAGCCAATTAGGTTTCATCAGAAATTCCTAAGTTCTAAGAAGATAGAAGCAAAAATGTTTACATTTGAGGTTTTCACCTATTTTTACAAACTGTTGTGGTTTGAAAATATCTAAGCTTTAATTATTACGTCTCCTTTATTCATTTAGCTGATCTCGTTGGAAGAGACAAACGTGACACGTCATGAAGCACGTCATGAAGACCTAATATTGGGGGTGCCAGTAGTATCTTTTACGAAGTCAATTTCACGCTTATTACACGGTATCCCCGTGGAAGGGGATATCGAATGGGAAATGCAGAAATGAAAATAATGTGGTACGCTGATGATGCAGTGATAGTCTCCGCGGATGAAGACAACCTACAAAGACTCTTATATAAGTTCGAACAAACTACAAATAAATATAAAATGGAAATATCTACCCGGAAAACACAATCACCCACTATATCCAAAGAGCCCTGAAGATGCAAACTCGCCGTTTACAACCAAAGTGTAGAACAGGTGATGACTGATGACCTTTAAATATCTTGGAGCAAACATCACGAGCAACAGTAATCTAAAGGAGGAAGTAAGGAATCAAAAGCCGCTCTAATATCGGGGTACTTACGAGACATCATCTGGAGAAACAAGCACATGAGTATAGGGAGTAAAGTCAGAATCTACACACGTGCGTGAGACCAGTGATGACTACGCCGCAGAAACAAGAGCGGAAAACACAACAACCAAACGCTTGCTAAGAACAACAGAAATGCGAGTCCTAAGATCCATAACAGGACACACACTATACGATATGAAAAGGAGTGAGGAAATTAGAGATACCTGTAAGCTTTCGGATGTTGTAAGATGGACCAGAGCAAGGAGAAGAGCGTGGAGAGACCATGTAGAGAGAATGGCCGACGACCGAATTGCAAAAATCGCCAAAGACCAAAAACCTAACAGCTCAAGACTCCCAGGAAGACCACCGAAGAGATGGTACGAAAGCTGGACATCAGCATCCCAGGACTAATAAGTTGAAGAAAAACACAGGACTCTGAGTCCTAACGTACGAGGAAGAATTAGTAAAAGAATTTCACGTTTAATCTACCTCACTTGCTCTCTTTGGGTGTTGGTAAAGCGGAAATTATGTTTGTTTGTCTTGGCAAGTCGAAGGAAATTACATAAATATTATTAAAACGGCGTGGTTGTGTTACGAAACAGTAAATTGCTTGCTGACGACATCTGCTACTTTTTGAGCTCTTTACTTGATGTTTGACTAACATACGGAAACGACTGATAATATGTAATTACGAATGATTGCTCCATTAGCTGGCATTAAATGCAGCAACTGCAGACCGAGCTAATTAATTATATATATTTTTTCATTTTGCAAAAAAAGTCCTTCATCTTCGCTACTCTCGAAACTGAAACCGTTCACAATTACAAATTTTTCAAAATTTTGAACAGTCCGAAAAACGAAACCATCTAACAGGCCCAAAATTTCAGGCAAACCTATGGAAGGTTAAGAGTCTACTTTTCATTATCTCAATGCATTAATTATAAATACTGTCATACGAATTAATAGTTACAGGTATTACTAGTTCACTACTTTCAATATTAAGGGAGTCCTAAAAATCCTAAACCTAACTTTAAAGAACTATATTAATTGTGGGTGGTTATCTTTGTTTGAATACCTTTTTATGGTATTTTGGACGCTGATTGCACTGAAAAAATGAAAAATAACTGAATAAAAAACGTAGGTTATGTGTACAGTTAAATAACCTGCAAGAAAACGTTATAACTGTCAACTGTCAGTTTAAAATGGAAATAAAGCTGTACAGTATCCAGATATTTTTTATTAACCGTCCACACCATTCCTGGCTCATCGCGCTTTCGCGTTTCATTGCTATGTTGCCAGATTGATACTGCCTTTGCAGACGAAAATAAAACCTCATAAACACATGTTTTTACTTCGGTTTGTTGCTGCTCATTATTTCATGTTAATTTCTCAAATAGTGTTGTATTACACATATACGCATTCTAAGTCCTACCATTTGGACTTTATTTATACTCATGGATATCTATGGAAACGCTGATGATATGGAGATGATGGACAAAGGTTAGAATCGATACAAAACATGAAAAAGCAAAGTTTTGTGACTGGATGAAACATAGATACCCACTACACCCCTGAGACGGAATAACAGTTCAAACAGTGGGTTTGCAAGGGGAAATCGGCACTATAAAGGGCGAAAACAGTTCCTTCGGAAAGGAGGTTCTATCTTTCGCAAACCGCAAGAAGTAATGTTTTTTGATTATATGGAAACTATTATAAGTGCATACCATTCATCGTGATTGGACTATTTAATAACCGAGCTGCAAGAAAAACGTCCACAATTGGCCTAGAAAAAAGTCCGTCTCCATCACGATAACGGAAAACAGATTTTAATCAAACAAAGAGGTAATTGCATAAACGAATTCATAATTTACAGACTAGGAGAAATCATATTATTCAGAAGTATCAACAAATTAGAGCATCGCTCGACGAAGTGTATTAGTCTAAAAGGACATTATCTTGAAAAATATGAATGATCTATCTTTTTTTTTTCCTTTTCTCGCTGAGGTTTAGGAAATGCCCTGTTACGTACACTCAGAGCTGGTGATCTGTCGCTCTGGGCTGTGTGGAACTACAGTTAAGCTGTTTACCCACTAAAACATTTTCCCCATCGCCGAGGTGGTGTTTAGCCTAGCACTGCGGTCTTTTCTGTCCTATTGTGCCCTCGAATTTTTCTCCCTCATTATCCCTGTATATTCAATGAATTCCAGAAGAATCTTGAGGGGGGTCCTGGTCTGGTTGAACTTCATCCTCGCCCAGGAGTCTTCGTCTACCGTCGCATACGACTTACAGTGACACATGATATGTACAGTAGTTTCGTCCTCTAATTCGCACCCCCTGCAGGTCGGTTGATTGCTCAGTCCCATTCTGAAGAGGTGTTTTTTGCAGAGGGCTTGTCCTGTTAAAAAGGCCACTATCCTTATTTTTTGCCTGCTGAGAACTGGCAGTTCATTTCTACGCAGTGGTTGTGGAGGTCTCACCAACTGCCTTGCGGTAAGGAGTCGCGGTGTCTCCTCCCAGTACTTTCTATGTTGTTCCAAGATCCACTGCCCAACTCCCGCCCTAACTTGGGCATGAGATATGCCACAAGCAGGTTCTTCGTTGGTCAGTGGTTGCTCGGCCCCTGCCTTAGCAAGTTCCGCAACAATTTCGTTTCCTTTGTTCCTGTTTGTCCCAGTTGCCCAAGTTAGTTTTACTCTTTTTGAGCTCCCATCCAGGGTCACCTTTGCCTGCGTCTTTCTTGCTTACCATGAAACCTACTCCTTCATCCGTGGAGTCTTAGTCTGCTTTATGATGGAACCTGACTTCAGTCTTAGGTGTTGTTCTCGTTTTCTTCTAACTTTTCTCAATCCTACGACGTCCCAGGAGAGCGTTTGAGTTCTTCGTCCAGTTCCAGCAATCTTTCGTCTATTGACAGAGTTCTTGTATTCAGTGTCACAAATTGCAGTCGTTGTTTTTGATAGCATGGTAGTGCCCGGTGATACTTCTACCACGCTGCCTATTTCAAGTTGGTAGAGAGTCTTATTCTAGGGAACAACATTTCCTTAGCCTCGGTAATACCATTATACCGCCGTGACTCGGTCGTTAGAGCCGCGTTTGTAAAAGCTGGATGCACCACGCGCAGGTTAGGTAGACATTTGAGAAGAAGTTATTAGAGTCAGATCACTACCAAACTTTTATCAAATCAGACCAGTATCTCCTGTTAACTAACGCACCCCAGTATTTAAGGAAAGATTAAGATTATTGCAATTTTCATGCTTGATTTCAGTACTAGTTAATATTTGCTTCCAATAGCCTCAGAGACTCGTGAGTTAGAGATTCTGAGATATTGAAGCCCTGAACCCAACAATCACTGGCTGATCGTCCATTAAGTAATTGTTACGATTGAGATGTGGCGATTGTAGTCCGATCAACTTATTAGCGAGTCACGAATAGTTTACTTTTACTTTGTAATTATTTTAGCGGTTGAATTCAGCTGGAACAGTGGCGTCTCTATTCAAACATCGCCGCCTTTTACCAGAAAACTTGACCAACTGAAATAGTAAAAGTGGATTATCTAACATCTCACCTCAAACCAATGGTTTTTTTTGGTGTTTTGCCTCAAAAACGGTTATCTTCAAATAAGGCAAATTCAATTTTTGAACTTTTCCTCCAATCTCATTGAAGAAAAATAGAAGTACTTGAAATTAAATGAAAATCTTGAAATGGTGAAATTTTAATTTATGTGTTTGTTTCTTTCGTCGACTCCAAGTTTTAACACAGTTTTAACCATTTATGGCTTAAATTAAATGAACATAAATTTATTTGATCTAATAAAAGTTATGAACCTTCCTTACTTTTTTGTTTTCGTTCTGATGGTTTGTTTGCTGAAATTGTTGAACCATTGCTTCTAATTTTGAAGCAATTATCAAACGCATAGTGCCAAAAATGTAACCTATAAAAGCCGGGGATTTTGTGTACGTATTCTTTAATTAGGTTATTGTGTCCTTTGAGCCCCTCCGAATTTTATTTTACCTTAAAGAGCACTTCAAATTAAGCACTTTTGGCGAAAAAAATCTGAATGGTCCGGACATTAAGCAAAAAAACACTTACAAATTTTTGAAACTCGCTTTTCCAAAACCAATTATTTTTTCCTTTCGGTTAATTTAATTTTGAGTTAGTTTGTTTGTGTTAGCATGGTTGAAGTGATTTTTAAATAAAACTGAAAAATATATACAAAAAGTAAAAATATAAAACCTGAAAATACCTAAATGATCTACACCGACCCAAATTGAATGAATCTACATGCTGTGTCCAAGGAAACAATTTTCACTGTTAACTTAAACAACAATAATAAAGAACAACACTTAAAACGTTTTGCGCAGTTTGGCAACAGCACTCGAAATTTAGCCTGGAAATGGTGATTTTCTTCAAACTGTGGGTGTTTTTTTGGCTTAATTCAGGCACCATGCAGGAATTTTTTGATTCGAAAAACAATAAATTCGGAGGGACTCAAACGACACTATCACTCTAATTATTTTAGTCATTGTTCTTGAGACTTGATCCGTGATATAAAATTTATTACAGCCGAAAGCAAGTTTTATCAATAATGTTTTCTGGATTTGAAATTTTTTAATAAGTCTTTGTATTCCAAATTCTCCTTCTTAATATTTTTTTAGTTTTAAAGATAGTTCAACATTAAAAAAAATGTTTTTTTTTATTATGAATTTTCAATTGCAGTCATACGATTGATTATCATTGAATTGAAATAATGATCAATATTTCAAAGATTTGTGTTACTTTTTTGTTGCTATGATCTGGAGGTTCAAGTCGTACGCTTTTTCAAATAATGCTATCATTTATTTGAAATTTAGCGTTTTTAAAAGGGTTTGAGTAAATAAGTTTTCAACATTTGCATTCTAAATATCGAAAAATCGAACAGATGTAAAGCACATATGGGGGATCGAAAAAGCATTCTGTTGGGTATGATTTGTTTTTTTAACCAACCTGCTTCCCTTTTTATTCATAAGAAGAACCTCCAAAAGACATTAAATATTATGGCACGCCCATGATACCGATTATATATCATCAACAATATTATATCAGAGAATGGTATCACAGTGACGTATTGAAAGTTTTTTTTTTGCCACTGAACTTAGAAAGAAAGTAACCATTTCTCGGACGGTAACAGGAAAGGCTAATGAGGTCCGCCAGCTTTGGTTCCGTATAATATAAATACTGTTTCCTGTTAAAGTGGACAGTCAGTATACGTAGTCTATTATAACCGAACAGACATGATGATTTTTGTAAGTACTTGCTCACGTTTAGCATATCTGCTTCAATCTTTCGTTTTACAGGGTGCGGTTTTGGCAATTTGTTGCCTGCAGGCAGCAAAGGCGGAACCGAGCAACTGGGGTTCGTCTTCAAACCAGCAACTGGAAGGAGTGCCTGATTTGGAAACTTACGCGAAAATCACTTACCCCAAGTACGACATTCTCGATTTGGGCGAATATTCCAAAGGCCATCTGCCCGGCGACGAAATCAAAGTAACCAAGGAAAGCAAACTCACTATTCCCCAGCCCTACCCAGTAAAAATCCCTATTCCCCAGCCCTATCCCGTCCACATTGACAAACCCTATCCAGTACATGAGACTAAAATCGTAAAGGTTCCCGTCCCAGTACCGCAAATAGTCGAAAAGAAGGTTCCCTATCCGGTGGAGGTGCCTAAACCGTATCCAGTTGAGGTGCATTCCAATGGTGGCAATGGGGGAGGCTACGAAGGCCACCAAGCAGTAGAAAGCAGTGGATATGGCGTTCAAGAAGAACACCTTCAGCTCCCGTCAAATGAAGGCTACGAAGGCGGCATTGGAGGCGGCAGTTTCAACCCCTACGAAAGCAAAGCTTTGGAAGAATCAGCCCCCAACGCGGAAAGTGGCGGCTGGCAGCCCCTCGGGGGCGATAATGGCCAAGGGTACCATTACTAATTTATCAAGACTGGTTCTCAGCGATTTCTGTTGATTAGTTGTAAATATTGTTGATTTTTTATAAAATGCTTAAAGATACTGACTGGTTGTGTGTTTCAATTACGTATAAAAGGCTGATACCGCACTTTCTGCCATAAACTGTTCACGGGTGAACTAACAGATGTTGAAACCGTTTGAAAGTTTCCTTGCTCCTACTTTGAAAAGCCCAATATTTGCAACAAAAACGCATTGCATCATCCGTAGACAGTATTTAGTTTATATAATAATTTTAATGTAATTAAGCCAATTAATATATTTCCGGGATCCGACTCACTAGCCAACCATCGTTTTAGGCGATTGCAACAGTTGAAAGGAAAAAGTGTTAAAAAAGAAAGAACGCAAATAAGGATTACTAGAATAAGAGCAACGTGCTGAATATGGTACCGGTCTCTAGCTGCAAGGACAAGCTGTTTTCGTTCAGTATGCAGGATTTTGTTAATTTTCGCCTACAAAATTTGAAAACGTTCAATTTCAAACGTTTCTGGAAAATTTACCAGTCCAGTTTTCCCAATTTCTAGAATTTGATTTATGCGACTTGGGGGAAATAAAATTAGGCCTAGACCTGCTTTGTGCAAAATTGCCCGCAAATAGAGAGCTATTGGAAATGATAATTACTGTAAGGCAGTAATAAGGTTAATTCTTATTTTAATACTGCATTTGCGTTATTTCTGTAACGAAATGATTATGGGAATTTCCAGTTCACTGCTTTCAGTATCCACAGTAGCCACAGATCACAGAGGTTAGTGATATGTGGAGATAACCTGCAAGCGAAAGTTAGAAATGTCAACTGCCAGCATTAGGTAAAAATAAATCTTCCAATGTTGCTGCGCAAATAGCACAGAACAGTATCCTTAGTAAGGGGTCCCTTAGTTATAGACTCAGATCTGACTGAACTTGAAGACTTCCTGAAACACCTCAACTCAATAAACCCTAAAATTCAAATCCCTATGGAAGTGGAGACCTACTCTGTTTCAAGCGACACACATCTTTTAAATCTTGCCTGCAGGATTTCTCGAGTTAAAAGCGGACACTCCGTCATTTTCCTGATTAAATTCGAGATTTTCTGAAAAGTCGGTATGTGAATTAATTTTGTTTATAAATTTAGATTTTAGCAACTTGTTGGAAAAAAAGACTGTTTTCGGTCAGTTAGCAGCAATTTTAGGAATATTGTCCGCAGTGTGTTCCAAATTGCCAATTTAAACACAGATAGACATTTTCTACAATTTTAGCGAGTTGTTCAATTTTGCTACAATTTGCTATATTCAAATCTGCGATATAAGCCGAAAAAATCGCCAAATCTCGTTTCTAGTTGTATTTCTTCAGAATCGCACAGTTTTGAAATGTGGCCCACATATTTTAAAAGGAACATTTAAACAATTGAGTTTTCGCAAATCGGAGGAAAAACTTGAATCAAATTATATTTAAATTCAGCCGCTGGGAATTTTTGACGTATTGTCCGCAAGAATTTCAAATTGGCCAATTTATAGCCTCAGCCTTTCTGACATCAACGTGTAGCTATGTAACAATGTTCTATCAACCTGCTGGATTTAAACCGTTGCACCTGAGCATCCTCGCAGAATAAATTTCAATCCTTGACGTTCTTTGGTTCAGCAAGCAAAAATGTTTAAAATGTTGCTTGCAGGTTTTCAAACTCCACAATTTACGGCCTCAATTCGAAAAAATCGGCTGTTCCTTAATGGGGGTCAAATTACCCATAATCGGGGTTTTTTTGACTTGTTTTATATTTGTGTTAAACTTGTCACCTCCTGACCTCTTGCTTGGAATTTAAGTGGAAACATTTTAAGAGATGAATCTGGAAGGTTCCGGTTTACTAATTTGTTAAGTCAGTGACTTTTGAATGAACGACATTTTCTCCGGCCGAAAAACGTTTTATTTCTCAACGTAATCTTCCTATAGCTAGATGCACTTAGGCCTATTTTTTCTCCTTTTCAAATAGGTAATACAATTTCTCGAGGTCCTAAAAAAAAGTTTGTTTCAATGAAGTCCTCTTCATTGAAATTTGTTTTTTTTATTTTCAAGTTACATTCAATTGATACGGCGTTAAAAAATAAATTGACAAAGAACATATTGTATTAAAAAGTACTGTTGTTACATGTTTAAATAATCTTTAATACTATAAGGTTCTAACTCAATTAGCATCTGTTTTCATTTATTCTTAAACAATTTTTCAATTCTTCCTTTTTCAATGCTGTTCTCTAGTTTATTAAATCATTTTATTCCCATATAGTAATTCATATAGTAAGGCCTTTTTTCAGATAGTGTTAAGGCCGGGACACATTTATCCGATCCGACTCCGATCATACAACAGGACGAAGATCTGAGAGACAAATGGTACTACCTTTGAATGCTCTTTCCGCTATCTCCCACCGATTTGTCTCCGTTTTTGCATCCGATCATGTTCAGATTTTGGTGGCTATTCGAAGGGTATTTGCTATCCTATTGACGGAAAGGAAACGGTCCGCGCTTTAGGTTACGCCAGTGATACATTTTGTTTCGGTTTTCATGAGCTTGATTGAACCTGAGGAGCTAATTGAAGAAGTGAGGAAGTATTCGGTACTATATTTTTTCCTGTAGTTTTTTGCCAAAAGACTAAACGTCGATCATTGGACATATTAAAAGATTGACAACATTTGATCTCGTTGTCCCACACATGAGAAAAAAGTGGAAAAAATTCCCCTTCATTAGATTTTGTTTTCCATGCAGCATGCACCGAAACTCTGCGTTTTCCCTTGTCCTTCCTCAAATATCTTCGTTTTTGTTTTTATTTGTTGTCTAGACAAAGTGCCACCTTGGCCAAGTCACACCTTCGAAAATTTGTAAACATTTTTCCAATGCTGCGCTGCAATATTGCATGTCCTTAGATTTGCCAATGGCAACTATTTATGACTATCGGAGCCAAAAATCGGTCCAAAAACTGAAACCTGTATGACATGAATTAGCCTTCTCCTTTCCGATCTGGCACCGATTCAATTGCTTGGGCATCGACGGAAGGTACTCTGATCGGAGTCGGATCGGATAAATGTCTCCCGGCCGTTAGTTTGTTCTTTGGACTCTTACCGCCCAGCCATTTCTTCAGGTCTGGAAACAGGAAATAGTCGCAGGAGGCTAAATCTGAAGAAAATGCTGGGTGGGGTAGCAGTTCGTAGGATGCATGGATTTTTGCCATTGCGACACGTGTGCTCCAGTGGATTGTCCTGATGAAACAGCACTTTTTTATTCTCCAAATGCGGGCGTTCAAGTTTCAGCATCGAATCTGTCCAAAAGCTCTGAATAATATACGCCCGTGATCCTTTTACAATTTTCAAGGTAATCAATGTGAATGACCCCACGTTAGCGGTGGGGAAACTTTTTTAATCATTACCCCAAAATAGTTTTGTGTAAGTTGATATTACCCCATGGCGAAAACAAAAAAAAAAAACGAAATCTCCTCTTTTTAGCATCTTTCATATTATAGCCCCCATGATAATTTTGAAAATAAAACATCATCTAAAAATGTAATTTAAACATAATTTATTCAACTTATCAATGTAATACTTAGTAATACATAACGGTAATAGTAGTAATATAAGTAATATATATATATAACAAATTGAAATCCATTGGGGGACAATTGAGGGTTGACAATTTGGGGTACTGTAACAAATAATAAGAATATAATAATAATAGTAATAATGGTGGTACAAACAAAAATTAAAAAGAAAAGAATAATTGAAATCATTTTTCCTTCACGTTTTGGAGAAATGATGTTTCATGTTTGATACAATTGGGTCAAAATTGGGACTTTTTGATGTAAGAGCGATTTGAATACAGTCTTCAGCGTTTAATCGATTTCTGTTCTTCGTTTTTATGTTCATTAGCGTGGAAAAGCCTTGTTCGCACAAATACATTGTTCCAAATGGCAGCAATTTTTAACCATCTCTTCATGCGCAATTTTGAAAGCCTTTGCAGCTTTTGACATCCAAAAAGACGACAGATTTGGTTTGCTCTCAAATTGAATACGTGCTTCAGTATTAGATCGAAGTTCAAGCATTGATTCTGCCAAACCTGAATGTTCTTCTGGTATTATAGCAATTTCACATTTAAAAGGATCTACAATCCAACTGACAGTACGTGTATCAAGATCTGGAAAGTAATCTGTAAATCGCATTCTGAGTTTGATAAGATAGATAAGAAGGCCTGCATATGACGCTAAATTGTTTAAGTTGAAAAAAATACTAACAGCTTCGTAAAATAGCAAATTAAAAATATATACTTTTTACCGACAAAAATTCAATTTTTATCCCATTTGGGGTAATTTACCCCGATTCCCAGACCCCTGTGGCCGACCGACCAATTTTGGCCTTCTTGGGTGCACGTTCACCTGAAGAAACCCACTGTTTTGATTGTCCTTTGGTCTCTGGTGTGTTGTTATCGATCCACGTTTCGTCTACGGTTACGAAATATTTCAAAAACTTGTTTAGATCGCGACGGAACATCGCTACTATTTAGCAAGCTTTTCCTTCATTTCTTTGGTGGTTTTGTTACGAAAGAAATAATGTTGATCAGCACTCAAAATTCACTTTTTTTCGTTTTTCCCGAAATTGACGTAGTTATCTCCTTTCAATGACTGTTAAACACGAACTAAATGACGTAGCGTGCTAAAATTGCACAGCAGTCTACTAACAGACGACAGTTGACAGGAGTAGTGTTGAACTTAAAGTTAATGCGCGGAAAATTAAAAAAGTCACTGACTCATCTATCAAATGACGTTCGTAGTTATGAAGAAAATAACTTTCTTCCAAAAAGAAGGTTGTTTTAATATTGTTACAGTCTGCCGATCGGTGCAGTAACTAAGGCAAAGTCTACTATTCTAAAAAATCATAATTTTATTAATAAACATTTTCAAAGTATACCGGAAGAAAGCGGCTTTAACAAATCTGAATCGGCGATCTGCATGGTTAAGAACAGTTCAATTATTAAATGGAATCTACCTACCTCTCGCCTATTGACCATTTTTTCGCAATTTCTCTTTGCATTTTTCGCCT